GCTTACCATACCTCGGAAATCCCACTAGTATTCGGCACATACAACCTAAGCACCGAGTCTACCCATATCCCATCCACCCCCATTGAGATCTCCCTCTCAAAATCGATACAACAGCTCTGGGTAGCTTTTGCTCGGGATCCCGCAAATGCGTTGCCATTGTTGGGTTGGCCTGCATACAATGGTAGTGAACAAGGCGTTATTGCGGCTTTGGGGAATTCCCAAAATCAAACGGGCTGGACGTTCACGGAGTCGGCAGTTATTGATGCGCTCTGTCCTAAAATCACCTTTTTTCAGGGATTAGTAACTGAAGTGCAGGCCGCATTAGGGCTTTGATAATTGGTCTCTCGTTCGTTTTTTTTTTTGGTTTCTTGCGGGTATGCATAAAATAAGTTTGTATAATTTGTATAATTTTACCCCTTCCTACGAATTTTCCTGTTCAATAATTTCTGCCAGTGGCCTCTCGACTCTTATCAGCAACTGGACTGCCAGTGTTATGTATCTGAGCATCACGTACGAGATAGTTTGGAGCCTGGAGTTGCGATTGAAAACTACGTCGATCGTCCCCGATCATCGATCAAATGGCGGCTGTAACTTCTTCTAAACTATCTTGCTCGCTTATATAGTGCCTATACCTGCTTATACTTGCTTCTAGCATGGTAGCTTTGCCGGAGTGGTTAATGGGACCTGTCCCAGATCAAAATCTAGAAAAATCCCCGTCAGCAATTTTTTGATCGATGATGCCCACTAAACTTCAAGTTCTTGCTCTACTTATACTTGTGGTCACTTTGCCGGAGTGGTTAACGGGATCACCTCTGTCAGCGCCTACTCCCGAAATAACCGCGAAGCGGTTATTTCGGGGGTAGGTGATGACGCGGTAGAGAACGGAGCGACGCTAGTCGCGACCAGTGCAGCGGTCCATGAATGGAGCGACGCCAGTCGCGACAATGGGCGGGCGTAGCCCGATCAAAATACTTCCGCAGACCATACCCCCGAAATAACCGCGAAGCGGTTATTTCGGGGGTAGGTGATGACGCGGTAGAGAACGGAGCGACGCTAGTTGCGACCAGTATTTTCCGCGCAGCGGTCCATGAATGGGAGCGACGCCAGTCGCGACAATGGGCGGGCGTAGCCCGATCAAAATACTTCCGCAGACCAAACTACATCCACATTTCGATTCTGTCTGTCCACCTCGGCCATTTCTTTTTTGTGACAATTTCAGAACATTCGTATCTCAAGTCACGTTTTCGGCCAATCTAGTGTACGAATTTGGTGTGTAAGCGCCCATCTATTTGCCCTTCCTCCACCATCATGGCACTATCCGGCCTCAGAACTTCCTCTAAACGTTCAAATGCCGAGATTCTGAAGGAGCGTCTCAACGAAAATGAAAACCTACGCGCTTTACACGATCAAGACTTGGACACGTTTCATTACCGCCAAATCGCTGCACCCACTCAACAGCATCACAACAACGTGAAGCGACACTACAAGGATTATGCTGAAGAAGAGAAAGCTAAAGGAAGGGAAGCACATTCTGAAGTAGTGATTGGCTCGCAAATACCACCACTCAGTGCGTAACTACCTTTTCAACCTAAAAAAAAAAAGCTCATTTTTGTATAGAGTATATCAAAGGCTTCGCATTATACCTAGCATCCGCACTTCAAGGAAAATCTTCGGCTTACATTCGTCTCAAATCTCTAAAGTCCTATATGACAACATTTCTTGCTCTCTGGCCGCGATACGCTGGTTCGGTTGTACCAAAAGAACTTCGGAACCAGATTTGGGCCTTTGTCAGTTCTGAAGACCTGTTGAAAGTCGTTCCTCTCTCCACTGGTAGACGTGCCATGAAATCCATCGAGCCACGGTGCCTTCAAATTATCTGCGAAACTGTTTATTCGTCCCGTGGAATCTTCCGAACAAACCGCATGCGAAGTCAACTTGCTTTTTTGATCTTGTTTTCTACCGCATCTGCTTCTCGTCCTGGCGCTGTCGTCGAGTCCAAATGCTACGTTGACTCAAATGAAGCGCTGAAATGGGGAAATTTCACTTTCCATGTCATTCCAAACTCGGATGATCCCTACCATCCCTGGCTCTTAGTTCAGATTCGTTCTACTCTTATCAAGGGCCATCGCACCAACGACGCCATTTTCCAAGATCTCCTTTTCCACCCTGACCTCAACAAGAACGATCGTCTTACCTGCGCCATTCTTCCCCTTATGCATCTCGCTTTCGAGGATAACATCTTCAAAAACGTTCAGTGTATCGAAGAGATCATGTCTCCCGGGATCCCACCAAAAAATATGTTCAAATTACAGTTACGCGACGAAGTAAAGGAACAGGTCGTCCTCAGGGCAGAGGTTAAGACGTTGGATGGCTTCAAAATATCAAACTTGAAGGCTCTCAAGTATGATAGGTATATGCATCTCCTTAGGAAACTCTCTATCGCTGCCGGCTTCCAAGGTCAGTCCCGATTCAACCAATATTCAAGTATATGCTATGATTTCCCTTCCATTAGAACCTTTAACCCCATATGACATGCGTGGGTCTCAGGGGAACAAAGCCGATGCGGCGTTGGGCCAGAATATGTGCAAGATGCTGATGACCCATGATCCCAAATCGGTTGTCTTTCTGGAAAATCGGAAGTTGGGATTCTTTTCTACCGCCTTTTGACTCTTTTCAGGACAAGTATTGCTCTCGAACTCTCACAACCGATCTTTCTGCCATTGCAAATCGCCGAGATCAAGAGGAAAACGTGACGGCGTACATGCGTGTATGTATTTGCTTTTTTTTTTTTTTTTTTTTTCTCATTGACGTAACTGACAATTTTTGTTAGTCGGCTACTTCGATTTCCGCTCGACTGGACCAACACGCACCCAAGAAGCTCTCACTCCAGCAACGGCATGACCTGTTGTCAGAACCACTGCTTGTTCAACTGCGACGAGAAAAGGCGGAGGTAGCATCGTGAGTTTTTTTGTGTACGTTCCTACTAATTGGTTTCCAGGAACTCGAAAAGATCACGGAACTTCAATTACAGCTCGCCAGCGCAGACGAACCACTGCAATCACAAATTGAGACCGCCATTGCCTCCCATCGGAAGGATTCAGCGACGCTGGCAAAGAAACATGAATTGATCTATGTTCGAGAGTCTAGATTTAGGATTAAAGAATTTCGCCAGGAATTTTTCAAGGATGCCGACGTTCGAGAACTGAGTGGCCAGGTTAGTCTCTGTGAAATTTTCTCAATTTTATCCGCCTCATTGCTGCTTTAACAGTCTTCAGTCAACACTCCCTCACTTCTCACCTTGCGTCAGAAGGAAGACCCCGCTCTTACCGCTGGATTCATGGAGCTTCTCCAAAATCTTTCTAGCGAAATTCCTTCAGACGACTTTTCTGTTCTCGTAAACTCACTTCTTTCTCAGCCGGAACAAGTCCTCAGTTTGGAGTATTATCCGGGCGAACGACCAACCGATGACAACAACTGTCCTGTGTGTGAGAAAAGTTTAGCGTAAGCTTCTAGTCATTCTTTATTTATGTTTCTGGAAATCATATCATTTTAGGGCTGCCAACTTGCGTGCTGGAGTGCGACCCGGCTCACACATACACAAGTGTATCGGCGAAAGGGAGGCGAAAATAGCATCGGAAAGACTCGCAGAGATGTTTACGCCCCGTAGTTGCGCCTATGGTGGCTGTTCGCATGCGACTCGTCAAACCGTGTTCAGCACTCGCTCGGAATACCTCACCCATATTAACGTGAGTTTTATTTACATTCCCAATGACGTGAACTGACAGTTACTAGATTCATATCAACGCTCTTCAGGTTCTGTCCTCGAAACCGCTCGCATTGGCTGTTTGCAGGATGAAGGAACATCGAAATACCTGTAACGAAGAAGAAGCCGATGACTGGCCTACCCACTTTGCCGAGTGCCATGCAATTAACGTTTTGCAAACGGTCGAAACATGTTACTGCGTAATGTGTGCTATCTGGTGTGTCGCTTATTCTCATTCTACACGCTTGTTCTCACCAGTGAACTAGGATTTCCGATGACATTGGCGACGGTCAGGTCCATGAAGTCCATCATACATTGCATTATGAAGCGCTGTTCGAAGCCTATAGTCTCCGTTCAAAAGAAGATAAAGCCATGCTTCCAATAGGCGTCACCGAAATTGACGGCTACATTGAATACGAACACGGATCTGGCTTCAACGGAAAACATCCTGAATTCCACGGCTATCTGGTATCTGGTGTTGCCTTGGCCCCTGCATTTTGTCCGTTTTGTATCTTTGATGAATTTCTACCAATGCAACGACGCATGACACAGTGAGCATTTTATTACCGAATTATCACCATATTTTCTGACAGTTACCCAGATATGTCGAAACACGTATTTTTGTAAAGCACCTCGGTACGCACACCTCTAACCTTGAGGATACCGAAAACTTCTGCCCTGTTCCCTCATGCGGCGAACACACCTTCACCAAGTTCGATCTTATCACCCACCTGATCTCGTCTCACAGAGTACCCGCCGCTGGATCTGCTAAGCATGTCAATGTTCGAAGATTGAGACTCTTGGCTTCAAGCTCCGTTCCTACCAAACGCGCCTCGGACGCTGCTGACAATATTATGGATGACGAAGAGCCGGATGTGAGACCAAAGAAAACAAAGACGTCAAAGAAGAGCCGCTCGCATGAAGATGGATACTACTGCTATGGATGCAGAGACTATGTCAAGGACATCGACGCTCATCTCTCTCGGCCCGCCAGGAGCGAAAAAGCCAAGAAATGTCGAACAATCCACGAATATGCCAAGATGACGGACAGTGATCGTGGCCCCAAGGTGAACTGGGTTTCAGTGCGTACATTGCTCCGAGTCCATAGTTTGTTCGTGAACTAACGCATCACTAGCCTACTTGAAATCGCGCTATGATTTGCCTTTACTATCAATCATGCTGTACCATGTTGTCCTGTTGTATCATATAGTACTACTTGAATCAGATGTTAATATATGTCACTTTGCCGGAGTGGTCTAACGGGATCGCCTGCTACTATTAGGTCAGCATTCAGCGGTTGGGCTTTGCCCGCGTGTGTTCGAATCGCACAGGTGACGATATTTTTTTATCTATGGTGCTTTGATGCTTCTTTTTTTTTCTCAACGACTTATCAGTATTGCCTTTGTTATGCTATGTTCCGGCGTAGTCACTACCAAGGCAAATACTGAGTACTATTATCATTGACATCGATCTTTCGAACATTGCTGTTATAGTCAAATGCCCATCGGCATTTATAAAGACATCAGCATACAGCGGTTGGGCTTTGTCGAATCGCACATGTGACGACTTTTTGGTTCCGTATTGATGCTAATAGAATCACAAAAGAGCAGTAGCTTCAGTAGAAACAGCTTTGATGTTGAGCGATGACTTAGCGCCGTAGCCAAATAAGGGTTGATTACCCGTTTCAGTTAATATTACCTTCCTGGTCAGAGAGAAGCCCCTATCGTCTCTCTCTCTGTACCAGGTATGTGGACTTGTATATCATTAACATTGATTGTATTACATGGACTAATAAACCCCATCGTCTCTCTCTCTGTACCAGAGTGATATTACCTTGATATTTGACCACCATTTAGATGGCATGCATACTTATTATCTTCAGGTGCTACTTACTTCCTTCTGGTAAAACAATCTCTGGTAGTTATTGCAAGGACATCATGCATGCTCCAGAACCTTCAAGTTCATCTATCGCTTGTTTTCAATCACCACACCACACTGTTGTGGTTCCACTCACTGCGAGTGTCAGTCCCATTTGCCTCAACGATGTGAAACACGTATACTTAAAACATAAGTACAAGTTTCACAGACTAATAAATAAAGTATAAACTCACCCTCCGATCAGAAGTGTAC